CATGGCTTGGACCTGTTAAGGTTTTGGTGGGTATGACAGAGAGCTCTGTTGTTACAAAATGCGTAACACATGTGGCCAATGTTCCCTGGCATTTTCAGTGTGCTGACTCTGGAACACTTCTCACACTGAGGAATTTTACACTGAATGGCATTACAGATGCTGGGAAGCTAATCTGTTCATGACAACATTTGCCAGGCATTAACAAGGCTAATAAACAAAGCTGACCTTAAGGAATTCTGCAAGTGTGTTAGGCAGTAAATTGTATGACGTAAATTTGCACAGAAGGTAACCGAAGCTCTAAGTAAGTAGGTGATGATGAATTTGACTTTATTATAGGGATGTTTCTGAATTCCATGTACAGCAATCACATTATATCACAGACTGGGGAGTTTTAAGAACAAAAATTCCTTGCCTCACTGTCCCAGTAGCTGAAGTCTAGGACCAAGTATCTGGCAGCATTGATATCTTCTGCGGTTACCCTCCTCGACTTGCAGATGGCTCTGATACCCCTGTGTCTTCACAGGGTCTTCCCTGTGTGTGCACTGTGTCCAGCCTTCCTCTTGTTCTGAGGAGGCCAGCCAGAGTGGATTCAGGACCTCCCAAAGACATCATTTTAACACAGTTGAGAGCCTTAAAAACAGAATGAGTGAGGCAGAAGAGAGAATATCGGGCTTGGAAGACAGAGCACAGGAAGGTATACAGTCAAACCAAAGAAAAGAAGAGGAAATTAGAAATCTAAACAATATTGTTGGGAATCTACAGGATACTATTAAAAAACCAAACATTTGGGTTCTAGGAGTTCCTGAACGGATGGAGAGAGAGAAAGGATAAGAAGGCCATTTTAGTGAGATACTAGCAGAAAACTTCCTGGGTTTAGAGAAGGACATCCAAGTACAAGAAGCACATAGAACCCCCAGTAAACATGACCAAAGGAGATCCTCACCATGACACATTGCAATCAAACTCAGCACAGTGAAACATAAAGATTCTAAAATGTGCAAGACAGAAACGTCAGATTACTTTCAGAGGATCTCCAATTTGACTCACAGCAGACTTCTCTTCAGAAACCCTACAGGCTAGGAGGGAATGGCAAGACATAGGCCCAAGTACTAAGAGAGAATAACTGTAGCTCAGAATATTATATCCTGCAAAGCTCTCATTTGTGAATGAATGTGAAATAAAGACCTTTCAGAGCAAACAAAGAATTTGTTACTACTCATCCAGCTCTGCAAAAGATGCTTAAAGATGTGTTACACACGGAAACACAGAAACATGGCCATCAATACAAAAGAAGGTAAAGGAAGACTGTCAGGATCTCCCTCTCCAAGAACTGGCCAGGTTGCCACAAAGAAAGAGTCCAGAAGACTGAGGAAGGTCAAACTGTTGAAATCTTTACTTAATATATTCTAAATTGATCTTCTGTATATAAAGAAATTGAAAATGTATCTTGATGAGAATGGAATGGGAGAGGGAGGGGGAGATGGGAGGGTTGCTGTGGGAGGGAAGTTATGGAGGAAAAAGCCATTGTAATCCATAATCTGTGCTTTGGAAATTTATATTTATTAAACAAAAGTTTAAAAATAAAAGAAATATCTTTGGGAAAATGGCAGGGCAAAGTCACTACTTATCAATAGTCACATTGAATGTTAATGGCCTCAATTCTCCAGTTAAAAGTCACAGACTGACTGAATGAATAAAAAAACTAGGATTGAACACATACTAGGCCATAAAGCATGTCTCAGGACAGTCAAGAGAATCAAAATCATACCATGCATCTTCTCAGATCACAATGGAATGAAGCTGGAAATTAGCAACTCAGGAATCCCTAGAGCATACGCAAACACATGGAGATTGAACAACATGCTCCTGAATGAACAGTGGGTCATAGAGCAAATCAAGAGAGAAATAAAAAACTTTCTGGAAGTAAATGAGGATAACAACACTACATACCAAAACTTATGGGATACAACAAAAACAGTATTAAGAGGAAAGCTTATAGCAATAGGTGTCTATATCAAGAAACTGGAAAGGCAACAAATAATTGAGCTATCAATGCATCTCAAGGATGTAGAAAAACTGCAGCAAACCAGACCCAAAACTAGTAAGAGAAGACAAATAATTAAAATCAGAGAAGAAATCAACAGAATTAAATCCAAAAAAAAAAAACACATTACAAAAGATTAGCAAAACAAAGAGCTGGTGTTTTGAAAAAATAAACAAAATTGGCATATCATTGGCCCAACTAACCAGAAAAAGAGAGAAAACCCAAATCAATAAAATCAGAGATGAAAAAGAGAATGTAACAACAGACACCACAGAAATAAAGAGTCATCAGAAATTACTACAAAGCATTGTATGTCCACAAACTTGGAAATCTATCAGACATGGAGAGATTCCTGGACACATGCAGCCTACCAAAATTGAACCATGAACACACAGAAATCTTAAAACACGCAGAACTGAGTCAGAAATTGAATCAGTAATTGAACCTCCCAACAGAAAATATCCCTGGACCAGATGGATGGGTTTACTGCTGAATTCTACCAGACATTTAAGAAGTACTAACTCCAATTCTTCTCAAAATATTCAGAACAATCAAAAGAGAGTGAATTCTCCCAAATTCTTTCTATGAAGCCAGCATCACCTTAATTCCTAAACCTGGAAAAGAAGCAAGGAGAAAAATAATTACAGACCAATTTCCCTAATGAACATAGATGCAAAAATCCTCAATAAAATTCTGGCCAATAGAATGCAACAACACATCAGAAAGATCATCCACCAGACCAAGTGGGATTTATCCCTGGTATGCAGGGATGGTTAAATGTGCACAAATCAATCAATGTGATACACCACATTAACAAACTGCAGAAGAAAAGTCATATGATTATCTCAATAGATGCAGAGAAAGCATTTGATAAAATACAACACCCTTTCATGATGAAAGCTCTAAGCAAATTGGGTACAGAAAGAACATTCCTCAATACAATCAAGGCAATTTAAGAAAAACCTACTACCAGCATCTTATTGAATGGGGAAAAGTTGGAAGCATTTCCACTGAGATCTGGAACCAGACAGGGATGCCCACTCTCACCACTGCTATTCAATATAGTTCTGGAAGTTCTAGCCAGAGCCATCAGGCAAAAAAAAAAAAAGAAATTAAAGGGATACAAATTGGGAAGGAAGAAGTCAAACTATCGCTCTTTACAGATGATATGATTCTTTATTTAGGGTATCCAAAGAACTCTACTAAGAGACTATTGGACCTCATAGAAGAGTTGGGCAAAGTAGCAGGATATAAAATCAGCGCACAAAAATCAACAGCCTTTGTATACACAGGCAATGCTATGACAGAGAAAGAACTGCTAGGATCAATCCCATTCACAATAGCCACAAAAACAATCAAATACCTTGGAATAAACTTAACCAAGGACGTTCAAGATCTCTATGATGAGAATTACAAAATCTTAAAGAAAGAAATAGAAGAGGATACCAAAAAATGGAAAAAACCTTCCAAGCTCATGGACTGGAAGAATCAATATCATCAAAATATCCATTCTCTGAAAAGCAATTTATAGATTTAACGTGATACTAATCAAAATACCAAAGACATTCTCCTCAGATCTAGAAAAAATGATGCTGAAATTCATATGGAGACACAGCAGACCTCGAATAGCTAAAGCAATCTTGTACAACCAAAACAAAGTCAGAGGCATCACAATACCTGATATCAAGACTTACTAACTTCAATGCCCTGAGGCAAATAGGACATTAAGGGAAGGGCTGACATGGAGAAGGGAGGGAAGGTTTCATTGTTGAGAAACAGACAATTAGATAGGGAAGGGAGGAAAAAGATCATGGTGTAAGAGAACCCTCATAAAGGATTGGACAAGACATTGTACACAGCCATTGAGGAACCAGGGCAGTGACCTGCGTGCTGTGGGGAATATATCACTTACTTTAACCACCCTGGTTGTCTTCTTGCATCCACTCTTGCATGACCATTAATAAAGCCTTGCTTCTCACTGCACTTCCTTGGAGTGGGAAGATAAGGACACTTCCATGTCTCATATAGAGTATCATGCGATATTTAAAAATCGGTTCCTTCTATGACTTCTATGTTTTGGGTTAGTTTGTAGACCAAGAAGTAAATGAGACAATGTGATTAACTTAGCTGCCTCCATCACAAGTTTAGCCAACTCAAAAAATAAAACACATTCTTCATTTGTGTTACTTCATGAACATCAAGGTGTGCCATAGGGGCAGAAATACACAGTTGCTCATTTAAATTTTTTTAAAGTTTTATTATTTATTTGAAAGACAGAGTTAAAGAGAGGGAGAGAGGTCTTCCATCCACTGGTTCATTCCCTACATGGCTACAATATCCAGAGCCAGGAGATTCTTCCAGGTCTTCATGTGAGTACAGGGGCCCAAGGACTTAAGCCATCTTCCACTGCTTTCCTTGGCCATATCAGAAAGCTGGGTTGGAGGTGGAGCAGCCTGGACTCGAACTGGAGGCCATATGGAATGGCAAAACTCCAGGCAGAAGATTTACCTGCTACACGATAGTGCTGGCCCCTAGTATCCTATTCTATACTAAATTTTTTAGTAGAGAAGATTTTAGCTGCTGCGATACACACATAGGAAAAGGTAACTGCAAGGCGATACATAAGTATCATTGTCTCTAAAACAAAAATTAACTTTGCACATCTGAAATAAAACTTTTTACAATTTAAAAGAATAGATAAAACTATTGTTAAAGTGATAACTGCATCAAGGTAGAGAAGTCTTAGTGTATAAAAGTGTTCAATAGATACAATAATGGTAGCCACACAAAATTCAGGACAATCACTGCAAGTCACACAGTTCCCTGAAGTTATGAAAGAAAGGAGAAGTCATGTCCCTAGAAAAAGGTAACGTGCTCTGCCCTCTCTCATTCCTGTGTACTAGAGTGATGTGGTAAGATTCAGACCATTGCTTTCATTTTATAAAACCCATGAGTTAATGCACAGACTGCATTAACTACACCTTGCTTTCTCCTTTATTCCTTGTAAAACGTTCCTGTTCGGCCGCACCAGAAGGATGTAGCACTTGGGGGCAAAGATGCAGCCCAGGAGTCCTGCACTGGAGGCCAAGATGGAGAAGACCTCCACAGCCACCATGACCTTCCCCTTGGTGCTATTATACACAGGAATGAAGGTCACCCACACACTGCAGAACACCAGCATGCTGAATGTCAAGTATTTGGTTTCATTGAACGTATCAGGCAGACTCCTGGCCAAGAAAGCCACTGAGAAGCTGCCCAGGGCCAGGGACCCCAGGTATCCCAGCACGAGGTAGAAGAGAGTGGCAGAGCCCTTGTTGCACAGGACCAGGAGCCGCTGAGGCTCAGCATGTGTGTCTGTGTCAATGAAGGGAGGACACGTTCCCAGCCAGATTCCACAGAGCATCACTTGGAGGAGGGAGCAGATGGGAATGACAGAGTTGGGTGCGCCTGACACCAACCACTGCCTCATCCTCTTCCCCGGTGCTGTGGCCTTGAAAGCCAGGACCACGGTGATGGTTTTAGCCAAGATGGTGGACACAGCCACTGTGAACACGATGGCAAATGTGGTCTGCTGGAGGATGCAGGTGGCTGTGTTGGGACGGCCAAGGAAAAGCAGGGAGCAGAGGAAGCACAGACACAGGGAGGCGAGCAGGGTGTAGCTGAGGTTGCGGTTATTGGCCTTGACTAGGGGAGTGTTTCTGTGCTTCACAAACACCCCAAGTACCAGAGCAGTGAGCACAGAGAGGCAAAGAGCCAGCCCGGCCAGTGCTGCTCCTAACGGGTCTTCATAGGCCAGGAACACCATGACCTTGGGCAGGCACCGATCTCGTGCAGGATTTGGGTACTGGTCGTCTAGACAGCGCACACACTGCTCCACATCTGGGGAGACAGGCAGGGCAGTATTAGGCTGGCAGTAGATTCTCAGCATTCACTCATCCCTGGCATCTAAAATATTCATATTTAGTTTCTTTGCCCTATTAAGACAGCATCTAAAGAAAGATTACATGGAAAATATTTCTAAGTCTTCTGGGTTGGTGTTCAAGGCAAGTTAAGCTGCTGCCTGCGAGGCCATCGTCCAGTATCAGAGCACCAGTTCAAGTCCTGTCTGCTCCACTTCACATTCTGCTCGTTGCTGATAGACCTGGGAAAGCAGCAGAGGATGGCTCAAGCTCTTGGCCCTTGCCCCCAAAGTGGGAGACTCAGATGGGCTTCTGGAATTCCTGGTTCAGCCTAAAGCAGCCTGGGTCATTGGGATCACTTGGGGATTAAACCATCTGATCGAAGACTGCTATTTCTCTCTCTCTCTCTCTCTCTCTCTCTCTCTCTGTCTCTGTCTCTCTCTTTATTTTATCTCTTTCTCACTTTTCTCATCCACACAAAAGCGTGCTGTTCAAATAAGTAAATTAATCAATGAAAAATTTTAAAATCTCTCTGTCTCACTCTTACTCTCTAGCTTTGGTTATGGCAATAAAATGTACCTTTACCACATTATGATTCATATTTCATTTAGAAATGTGGAGTTTCTATATGACTACAAAACCACCATATACACCTATTTCTTTAATTTCTTCCATTAAGGCTTGCAGTGTTCATTTAATCAACTCCTCTTTTACAATCACACAATCATTAGCAAATTTGAGCAATCAATTTCATTCTGAAAATAACTACAGTTTTATTGTTTATATCAATGGAAGAATTTTTCTTCTATATTTAAAATCAAATATATTACTCATATAATATGAAACTGTTTGTATACACTGAGTAAATAGAAACCTAAGTGGTCTCTAGTGCTAATTCCAATTGCCATTAGCTTCATTCATCCATGTATAGATTTGCGAAATGGTAATTTTATCATCTTGTAATTGGGATTCCTGCTCCCTTTCGCTATAGTAATTATATTATATAGATTTTCTGGAAAAATATTAAATAATAGTGATAAAATGTGTATTCTATCTTCTTTGTGCTTTAACTGATAAGGGAAAAACTACACTTTAAATAATTTTTACATTTACAAGCCGGGGAATATATACTATGTACTTCATGTGATCTTCACTGTATACAGATTGTTTTCTCTTTTTTTTAGATTTATTGCATTTATTTGAAAGACAGAGTTACAGAGAGAGGTAGAGACAGAGAGAGAGGACTTCCATTATCTGGTTCACTCCCCAGAATGCCGCAACAGCTGGAGCTGCACCGATCTGAAGCCTGGAGACAGGAGCTTCTTCAGGGATTCCCATACGGGTGCAAAGACCTTGGGACTTGGGCCATCTTCTATTCCTATTCCAAGTCATAGCCGAGAGCTGGATCTGAAGAGGAGCAGCCGGGACTAGAACCAGCACCCATATGGAGTGCTGGCACCTTACACCAGGGTTTCAACATGCTGCACCACAGCGCCAGCCTTCCTTTTTTCTTACTTGTTTGATCTCTGAAGAGAGAATGAAGAATGGGATATTTTTCCATACCTCCAAAGGAAAATCCTACATTTTAAGCTGTAATAGCATAATAATGAGCAGATTAAGTAGTATTTTCCCATTATCGAGAGTATACATGTGTTCTCTGTGAACTATGGAAATCTGTTGTAAGGGAAATTGTGACTGGTGCCAAGTAGACTCCAGTGAAAAAAGGATCCAAATGAACAGAATCAGGAGTAATTATACCTAGCTGCATGAAATTGTCATGGTGGGAGCAAAAAACTGAGGATGGACAGGCCAGATTTAGCAGTCCTTTGCATTCTTCACACGTCCAATATGAGTGAGAGGAGATAAGGGCACAAGGTTGTCACAGGGCAGAGAGAAACCAAAGGCAACAGCACATAGCCTACTCCAAGTTCTTGTGCCACAAGACCCAGCCAGAAAGCAACACTGTATTTAATGTTTTCAGGTCCAATATTGTAACCCAAGTCTCATTAAATTAGAGCTCAAGTTAACAAAAGTGAAATCTTTTGAATACTGTACCTGTCTCATTAGAAATCTCATTCTCTGGACATGGGGTGCAGTCAAAGCAACAGGCAGCCTGTCCCTCCTGGTGGGTTTTCCTGAATCCTGGGCCACAGCTCTCACTGCACACAGAGCGGGGATTCTAAATGAAATCAGAGAAGTCTTAAAGGTGTCACGAATGTTATCCTATGTTACAACTGAGCAATTCCAGGACATCTAGGGAGACTACAAGTCATTACATTTCATTCAGGGACTGAGTGTCCTGCTCCATTGTCTGACACACAGCTTATCAAGATTGGAAATGTCTGCCTTAAAATGAGTGGACTTCAGCAGACTAAGGAAAAACTAAGTGTAAAGTGCAAGCCAACATCCAACAGTGTGGTCCTCCTCCTGCCGAGAGGGCCATAATTCACAGTCAGGGTGATCTCTGATTGATATGTGTAGACACAAACCCAGCATTCAAAACTGCAGAACCAACCTCTTTAAACTCCACATTCCACTCTATCATCTCCTCAGATATGGAAAGACGGTGACCATGAGGAGCCCGTGGTGAAAACTTTCCAACCTTCACCTGGAGTTGAAGGCCTTGAGGGAAATTCCAGTAGTTGAGAATGTCATAGTCTTTCCTAGGAACTTGTTCCTGATCCAGATTCACTTCATCACCAACACTGTTGTTAAATTTGATGTTCTTCAGAAAGGAGTTAAGCTTAAAAACAAAAAAGCACCCTTACATAACAGTGTACCCAATTTAGATAGAGGAATCTCAGATTAGAGTCATACTATTGAAGCTCATCAGAATTCTTTCTTTAAATTGTTACTAATTAAAAATTGTTAAATTTATAATTATTCAAATGAGAGAATACCTTTATAGCAGATGGTTAAAGAGACTATGTATAAAGCACATTATATACTGCATATTGTGTCCTATTGTCTGTTATAATACACAGTGTGATACTGGAAATATGACAGAATTAAAATGATCCCTAACCTTTCCTATATTGCTATCCTTAACTCCAGAACCACAGAATTTTGAGTGTCTATGTAACCTTGCTCTTTGAGCATATATGAAGTGAAAATGATGTCACTGGGGTGGGCTCCAAAATGCAGTCTGGCTGGCCTCCTCTGAGAAGAGGAAGTCTGGATGCCGTGCACACACAGGGAAGACCCTATGAGGACACAGGGCTATCAGAACCATCTACAAGTCAAGGAGGCAGACTTCAGAAGAAATCAACCCTGCTGGCAACTTGGTCATACACATCAGCCACCAGCACTGTTTGGCATCAAAGTTTTGTTCTTTAAACTCCCCAGTCAATACTAGGAAACATGAATATGATCGCTGTACATAGAATTCAGAAACATCTTTACAATAAAGTTAATCATCATCACCCATGTACTTAGAGCTTCGGTTACCTTCTGTGCAAATTTACGTCATAACATTGACAACCAAAAACACTTGCAGAATTCCTTGGTCAGTTTTGTTTATTAGCCTTGCTGATGCCTGGCAAAGGTTGTTATGATCAGGCTATCTTCCCAGCTACAGTAATGCCCTTCAGTGTAAAATTCCTCATTCCTTGAAGAGATTCAGATGTGTCACACTGAAAATGCCAGGGAACATTGGCCACATGGGTTACACATTTTGTAACCACAAAGACCTCTGTTATCCAAAAAAAATAAAGCAATTCACCACGTGGCTAAGTATGAGCATAGCTGCTGTGCCATGAGAGGTCCACAAGCAACATGGAAAAGCATTTCACCACGTGGCTATGTATGAGCAAAGCCTCTATGCTGCACAAGCTCTCAAGGAACAAGGAAAAGCTGCCTGGAGAAGATACAGTACCTGCCAGGGATACATCGTCAACCCATCTCCATTCCACACTAGCTGCAACTCTACCCACTGAAGAAGCATTTCATGAAGGGTGTGGGCCACGGCATACACGGCATTGTAGATGTGGTAACTCCCTTCAGACATGCTCATGTCAAAAACGTGCACTGGCAGATTCTCCAGAGAGGCATTCGCGGGACAGCCCTGCAAAGTCTCACAGTTGGACATTGAAATTGAGCAGAGGAAATAGATAAACCAAAATTTAGTGAGGTAAAAGTCTTCTGGGTACTTAGATGGATTCACTGTTTTGAGAAAATGCTTGAAACCAGGGATTTCTTCGTGGGAGTGTGAAAAACTCAAAGTCCCATGGAATGTGTCCATCATGAACTCCATCTCACTGGGGATGAAATCCCATTGTGATGTCGTGATCCACACTTTCCAAGTCACAAGGAGCCCATATTTTGAGAAGCTCAGGCCCATTAATGAGTTCATGTCACCATAAATGACCACCACGTTTGCAGTTGATTCCAGGATTCTAAAGTGGTAGTGCCACTCAAGTGGTGCATATGTCCTGTCTGTGACAAAGAGCATTTCCAGAAAGGCCTCACAGACCTCGTACTTGTTCATTGCATCTCTTATATCCCACAGGAATTGAATGCCCCTGGTGTCCTCAGAGATGACCAACCCCACCCAGGTCCAGTGGAAATGCAGCATCAAGGACACCATGCCCAGGGCCAGAGAGGATTCCCTGGGAGCCATCTGGTAGGTAAACTGATGATTTTCTCCCAGAATTTGATCAAAAGGACCATAGGTGAGCTAGAGTGAAAATGAAGATGTGATCTCAAATGAGTTCTGCAGAGGACAAGACCTCGGAATGTATTGCAGGGAAGCACCACACTCCATGCACACCCTTGGCTCTGAGAAGATTTCACTGTTATTGCTGGATGTTGATTGGAGGAAGTGTTGGAAGACAACTTACAGGACTTCACTCCCCCTGTGAGGGCTCTCTGGAAGACTGAGAGAGCTTTGCAGCTCAGCACTTCAAGGTATCACAGTGCAGAGCCAATTATTTCTTACTGCCATTTACCCATAACCTCCTCTCCACCAGGAAAGTTGGGGGAGGGCAGCTCTATGCGCAGCTGTGTGATTCCTGGCTGCTCCACATCTGAAACAGCTCCCTGCTAGTGTGCCTGGGAAAGCAGTGGAAGACGGCCCATGTCCTTGGTTCCCTGCCACCCATGCGGGTGACCCAGCAGAAGCTCCTGGCTCCTGGCTTCAGTCTGCCACCACCCTCACTGTTGTGGCCATTTGGGCAGTGAATCCACAGATTAAAGACTCTCTCTCTCTCTCTGTCTCTCTCTCTCTTTCTGTACCTCTGCCTTTCAAATAAATACATCTTTAAAAATAAAAGTCTAATGAAGACACACAAACACACACATACACAGTTTATATTCTGTCTCTATAAAAATACATAAACCGGGCCGGCACTGTGATGCAGCCGGTTAATGCCCTAGCCTGAAGCACTGGTATTCCATAAGGACGCTGGTTCAAGACCTGGCTGCTCCACTTCTTATCCAGCTCTCTGCTATAGCCTGGTAAAGCAGTAGAAGATGGACCCAGTCCTTGGGACCCTGCATCCATTTGGGAAACCCAGAAGATGCTTCTGTCTTCGGATCAGTACAGCTCCAGCCGTTGCGGACAGTTGGGGAATGAACCAGCGGATGGAAGACCTCTCTCTCTCTCTCAGCCTCTCCTCTCTCTGAAACTCTGACTTTCAAATAAATAAATAAATATTTTTTAAAAATACATAAATCCATTCACTTCTTTTATACTTGAAGCCACCTAAGAAGACACCTGAAGAGGAAAGATGTATTTCTCCCCTTACCTGAGGGAATTTGTAGAGTTCCAACAGTGTCCCTATCTGTGCTGAAATTGCGCCTGTGTTTCCTGTAATGACTGCCACAGACTTGCTCTTCCTCACACAGGTGTAATTAGGAATGGCCTTGCCCACAGCAGACAACCAGGTCAGGGTGCTCTCCAGGGTCTTCCATTCACTATGGATGGCGTTGTAGAGATCAAATCCCAGAGACACATTGGGTAACAGGTGTGGGTTCCTGTTTACCTCTTCAATGGCAAATATAAAGGCCAGAAGATACTGGTAACTTTTAGGTTGTAACCTGCAAGAAAGCATACCCAGACCTCACAAACAAGTTCACACCTTGTTCTTTGGAAACATCTGCTGTACACTCAAATCATTCATTCCAAGAAAATCAATGCAGTGTTGGGGGCATTGTGGAAAATAATTAAAACTCACAAAAGGAGAAATGTCTTTACCAGATACACTATGAAAATTATGAATTGGAGAAAATGTTTGATGTCCTCTGACACTCACATGAAAGGTAAATGTGTCAGTGGAATTACTTTTTAAAGTGTAATAAAACTGCCTTAAAAATACTTCTTTTCCTTATGATAACGCTAAGCAAATTTGCTCTAGAAGGAACATTCCTTAACATAATTAAGGTAATTTAGACAAACCCAAGGCCAGCATCCTGTTGAAGGGGAAAACTGGAAGTATTCCCACTGAGATCTGGAACCAGACAAGGATGCCCACTCACTCCATTGCTGTTCAAAATAATCCTGGCAGTTGTACCCAAAGCCATCATGCAGGAAACCAAATCAAAGGGATTCGGTTTTAGCCATAGCCATGAGGGAAGAAAAAACATCAAAGGGATTCAGATCGGTAAGGATGAAGTCAAACAATCCCTGTTTGTACATGATAGGGTTATACATATAGTGGAACCAAAAAACTCCACTAAGAGACTACTGGAACTCATAAAAGAGTTTGCTAAAATAGCAGGATATAAAAACACACAAAAAACAGTAGCTTTTACACACAGACAATGCCATGCCTAAGAAAGAACTTTTAAGATCCATCCCATTCACAATAGCTACAAAAAATAAATACCTTGAGATAAATTTAACCAAGGAAGTCAAAGATCTCTACGACGAGAATTAACAAACTCTAAAGAAAGAAATAGAATGTGACATAAAAAAAATGGACAAAACTTCCAGGTTCATGGATCAGGAGAATCAATGTCACCAAAATTCTTCCAAAAATAATTTTAAAATTCAGTGCTATACCATTCAAAATACCAATAACAGACTTCTCAGCTCTCAAAAACATGATGCTGAAATTCATTTGGAAACATAAGAGGCCTAGGATAGCTAAAGCCATCTGATACAACAAAAATAAAGCCAGAAGCATAACAATACCAGATTTCAAGACATACTATAAGGGCCAGCGCCACCACTCACTAGGCTAATCCTCCGCCTGTGGCGTTGGCACCCCGGGTTCTAGTCTCAGTCAGGGCACTGGATTCTGTCCCGGTTGTTTGTCTTCCAGTCCAGCTCTTTGCTGTGGCCCGGGAAGGCAGTGGAGGATGACCCAAGTATTTGGGCCCTGCACCCACATGGGAGCCCAGATGGAGGCACCTGGCTCCTGGCTTCAGATTGGTGCAGTGTGCCAGCTGTGCTGGCCATTTGGGGGGGGGTGAACCAACAGAAGGAAGACCTAACACTCTCTCTCTCTCTCTCTCTCTTTCTCACCGTCTAACTCTGCCTGTCAAAAAAAAAAGACATACTACAAGGCAGTCATAATCAAAACAGCCTGGCCCTGCTACAGAAACAGATGGATAGACCAATGGAACAGATTAGAAATGCCAGAAATCATTCCAACCGTCTCCAAACAACTGATATTAGACGCAGGAGCCAAAACCATTCCCTGGATCAAGGACAGTCTCCTCAACAAGTCATGCTGGGAACACTGAATTTCCACATGCAGAAATAGGAAGCAAGACCCCTCCCATACACCTTACACAAAAATCCATTCAAAATGATTAATGATCTAAATCTAGGACCCAATGCCATCCAATTACTAGAGAGCATTGAGGAAACTCTGCAGACATTGCCTAGGCACAGAGTTCCTGGGAATGACCCCAGAGGCACAGGCAATAAAATCCAAGATTAACAAGCGGGACTGCCTCCAACTGAGAAGCTTCAGTACAGCAAAAAAAAAAAAAAAAAAAAAAAAAAAAAAAACAAAACAGGAAAGTAAAGAGGCAACCAACAGAATGGGAAAAGTATTTGCAAACCATACAAATGATAAGTGATTAATGACCAGAATATACTAAGTGATCAAAACACTCAACAATAGCCAAGAAAAGAACCCAGTCAAGAAGTGGGCAAAGCACTTACATAGATATGTCTCACAAAAAGGAAGTCCAAATGGCATGCAGAAAATTAAAAATCCTCAGGGTCACTAGCCATTAGGGAGATGCAAATCAAAACCACAAAAGGTTTCTCCTCACCTTAGTTACAACAGCTTTCATACAGAAATCAACAAACAACAAATGCCTGCTAGGATGTGGGGGAAAAGGTACCCTGATGCACTGTTCATGGGAATGCAAACTGTAAAGCCACTATGGAAGACAGCTTTGAGATACCTCGGAAATCTGAAGATAGCCTTGCAAAAGGTTCCAGCCATCCCACTCCTCGGAATTTACCCAAAGGAATGAAATGAAACTGGCAAATAATAGAGTCTTCTGCACCTCTATGTTTGTTGCAGCTCAATTCACAATAGGCAAGACATGCAGTCAACCTAAATGCCCATCAATGGAAGACTATAACCTTGACATTTATTGTTAGAACAAATACTTACTGTGAGATGTTAGATAAGAAAACCATACTGAAGAGAAATGAATAGAAAACCCCCCTGTTTTGATTCATTACTGATATCTATATATAAAGAATTAGAAGAAGAGTATTTGACCTCAGGGAAGCCTTGAGATGCAGGTATCCCTTCCTCAGGCATCTTTCTAAGACCAAGGGGGAGCATCCTCAGGTCTCTCTGGTAGCTTGGACAAGTCACTCTTCTCCTCTGCCATAAAAAAATCCTGTCCAAGTCTAGACCAGAACAGGAAAGCACTCTGCTGTAGGTTTCTCAGATCCTCAACCCAGCCCCAGCACAATGCCAGCATCAGCATCCACAGCACAACCTGAGAAGTATTTAAACATAATTCAATGGCCGTCGCAACAGCAACAAGAACAATGTTATGTTATAGGGCCCTCTGGGAGATACATGGAGAAGAAAGGATAGGAAGATATAGACAAAACAGCTAATGATTGATGAACTATAAAGAGAAATCTAGAGAACATAGCAGCACATTGGAACAGAGCATGTCATGCCACCAAAAACACTGCAGCTCTTCCTTACAAACATGCTTCTCCATCTTCCCCCAAATTACATTCATTATTTCCTATAGAGAATTCTTATGGATGGCCAAAGAAAGAAAAACAACACCTCAAATAGAAGCAGCCAAAAACGATAGCTGATAACACCCCCATAATTATCAGGGATACATTCAAAGGCCAGGGATACAGGAATGACACACACTTCATTAAATACAAAAGAGAAGAAATTCAAGTCCCCAGCAATATGAAAGCAGCCTCATGGAGGGAATAAGGAACAGCTATGGGAGCAATGCTGTGTTCCTAGCCAGACTTCCAGCACTGCAGGTACACAGACCTCAGGCAGGAAGTGTGTAAATGGATTCCAGAACTTCACGCTCAAAGGAGCTTAGCAGGCATCTGTTTCTGCTAGAGGCAAGACTTGGGATGTCTTGGTCTCTGCTAGCTGAGAGCATTGACCACCTGTGGCAAGGGAACTCTGACAATTGCGTGATACCCAGTGGAAGGGAACTTTTGCTCCAGGCTCTTCTGCTATCCTATCAGCCACAGTCTGGTATTGAAGTACTTGACTTGACACCATTTCAGGGATAACCACCAAAGTGAGACTACCATTCAAATGCCAGAGTCTGAGTCTCTCTTTGTTTATACCCAGCCTTGGGGGAAAGCAAGAACTGTGGGCATGGACTCCAGGCTAAGGGGTAGGGTGGCAGGAATAGAAGGTAGACAGAATCTAAGCAAGAGGAGTTACTCTCTCTTCAGCTTTGAGGAACCCGGGCTACTGAGAGCAGCCACAATATTTAAACTCTGAGCATTGTGATACATAAGGGCAGGATGGTGCAGGGAGATTCATGGCATAGTTGACCTACTGCACGGTGTCTTTTTCAAAATCATCTGGAGATAAGTAGAATTGGGTTTTCTTAAAAAAATGAAGACAAATAAGAAACTTACCTTTCAAAATATAGTTCTTTCAATGCCTTTGGTTTGATAGCAAACTCATCAAGATCTGTATTATGTTGAAATAAATAAAGTGGGAAAAACCCTCCAACAATCAGATACCCATCCTTGAGCAGGCTGGGCTTCATGCGTGTAATGCAAGAGAGCATGTCCAAGCTGCCAAAAGAGAGTGGGAAATGCAGGAGCCGAAGAAGGAAAGTACCAGCCAGCATGCCAAATTGTCTTTAGAGACCACAGTCAGAGATGCAGGCATGTGGAGCAAGCAGGTGCAGGTGCAGCTCACGTTGACTACCCTGGGCTGGGATGAAGCAGCAGGTTCCACAACACACAATTGTGGAAAAAGAGAGCAGTGTGTTTCAGACCACTGTCGAGGTCCAGGCAGTCCTGAGTACAGGATGCAGGAGTATTTAAGATGGGACTATTTCTTAGCACCTTAATGGCACTTGATATTAGGAATTCATCTTTCTGACTTCCACCAGCTAGGAGACCTGGGAGCATGTTGCCCTGAGGTCATGCATCTGCGTCTCGGTTCTCAGTGAAATATACAAGTGACAAAACATGTTTGGAGTTTGCCACATCAAGCCCTCATGTGTCAATATCATTAGACTCTTGGGCATCAAGCCGCCGGGACTCTGGTTCCCCTGAGCCAGAGGCTGTTTGACCATGTTGTGCCCTTAACAGGTCCAAGTCATGTTTTGGCTTTGAAGGGTCCTGAGTGAAGTGAGAAGTGAGGAGGGCTACTGGGTCAGCAGAGAACTTCCCAGCATCCCACTCTCTAAGTAAAGGTAGAGGGCATGTCTGAGCCAATGTGGCCTCACACCCAAACTGTCTCAGTCCACTGGTCACTACAAGAAAATACCAGGAAAAAGGAAGCTGAAAAAGTCAGCAAGTTATTGTCACCTGTTCCAGAGCCTGGGTTGTGCTGGCAGCCATAGTCCCCATGCGGGCTTGAGCCTGGATTCACTGATGGTGCCTTCTCACTGTGCCCTCACACTAGGTCGGGGTCACAAGCTCACAGGGGCCTGGTTTTTCAGGCCATGGATTCCGTTCTTCACCCTCACCCATGACCTAATCACCTCCCCAAGAGGTCCCTGGGACATCCACCAGTATGTGCAGCTTAGGATTTTTACGTATGAGTTTGAGAGACACAATGATTCAGACAGTAGCACAGGATGCATTGCAGCCCCACAGCATTCCTCATTTTTTTTTTTTGACAAGCAGAGTGGACAACGAGAGAGAGAGAGAGAGAGAGAGAGAGAGAGAGACAAAGAGAGAGAAA